ATTGATGCTGAATGATGCTGAATTGAGGTCAATTTTAAGCTGATTTATGTTATTTAAGTTTCAAATTAATGCCGAATGATGCTAAATTAAGGTTAATTTTAAGCTAAATGGCTATATCAATCAGTGTTGATCAGCGTCTATCGGCGTCTGAATTGTTGCCAAATTGAGGCCAGTTTTAAGCTAATTTATGATTGAATTTAAGTTTCGAATAGTCATGTCTGATTGGAGTTGATCGGTGTCTATCGGCACCAGTTTGTACCGATTGGAAAATATGAAAAATCAGTTGTAAATAGTATCAAAATTAGCCTAAAATCAGCTATCTGATTTTTAGCTGATTTGGACTATTTTGACTAGTGTATGATCAGAGACCAGAAGTTCGAAGATAGGAATTGAAGTTAGCCAGTATTATTACACAAGAAAAATATATAAATAATATTATATGATATATCTTACGACTAAGTTTTCTTAGCTGTAATTGCCAGATCTCGCTAAGAGTACTTAACCATATAATTTGATGATCTCGTCTACAGTCAAAGCTCGTTATAGTGAATCCCATTACAGTAAATTTGGCTTATAGTGAACTTTTTTTATTTCCTAATTCATTCTATAAAAAATTTTATTCGTTATAGTAAACTTCTTAATAAAATCTTAATATTGTATATAGTAAACTTTTTTTAAAATTTAATATAGAACATATATTATAAATTTATATTCGTTATAATAAATATTATGTGAAATCAATATTATATAATATATTTGTAGTTAATTTTATACTATTTGTAGATCATTTTTAAAATTCGTTAGCTCATTTATTGTAACACAATTTTTTTTGTTCTCAAAATGCCACCCAATAGAGAAAAACCTAATAAAAGAAAAAGCTTATCATTTGCGAAAAAAAGAGAATTATGTGAGTGGAAAAGAGATAATCCATCATATAATCAAGAAGAACTTGCTGAAAAATTTGATATATCAAAACCTCAAGTTTGTAAAATATTAAAAGCAAAAGATAAATAGCTATCTATTGATATTACAAATAAGGATTTTAAAAATCAAAAACGGGATAGAGATGCTAAGTTTCCAGAAGTAGAATCTGCATTATATTTGTGGATGCAATAAGCGTTATCTTCAAATTTAACAATTACAGGGGATATATTAAAAACTAAAGCTTTAAACTTTGCAACTAGATTGCATATAACATCTTTTATTGCTTCAGATAGATGGTTATCTAAATTTAAAAAACGATATAATATAAGATAAATTAATAAGGCTGGTGAGGCAAATAGTGCATCTTGGAAATGTTAGAAGAAGAGCGTAAGAACCTGCAAAAAATTATTGAACAATACAATCTTTGTGATGTTTATAATGTTGATGAAACAGGTAAATACAATTTGAAATTAATAGTATATTTTACAATTTTATTAATTTAATATTATCTATCAGCTTTATTTTGGAATTTAGAACCATCAAAAACACTTTCAGACCACTATATTTCTGGTACTAAAAAATCAAAAAATCGTATTACAGTTGTTTTAACTTGTAATGCTGATAGAAGTCATAGATTACCTGCATTAGTAATACATAAATGACAAACTCCTCGTGTTTTAAAAGGAATTAAAAAAGATGATCTACCCGTTTGGTATTACTGGAACTGTACAGCCTAGATGCAAGTATTAATATGGCGTGATTATCTAAATAGACTTAATCAATTAATGAGACGACAAAATCGAAATATATTATTATTGGCTGATAATACACCTACACATTTAATGGATGAAACTGTTTAATTATCAAATATTAAAGTATATTTTCTTTCTCCTAATATAACCGTTCATTTGCAACCCTTAGATGCTGGTATTATTAATAGTTTTAAGGTAGGAATTAAATTGTTATATGTATTTATTTTTTTATATTTACAGTACTTATAAATTTATAATTTTATTAGGTTCAATATAAAAAGTTATTGGTTACAAATAGAGTAGAAGAATTTGATTTAGCTCAAGAAAATAACTCTAATATAATATCAGTTAATATTCTTGATACTATAACGTTTGTAAATGAAACATGGAAAATTATAAAATCAAGTACAATTGAACATTGTTAGAAAAAAACAGATATTTTATCTAATTATAAAGAAAGTGAATCTGATCAGGATCAAGATGATATTATTAATGATAATATAAAGAGAATTGCTTTGGAATTCCAAGATATGATTGATAAATTAAATTTACAAGATCCTATTACTGCTGAAAAATTTATCTATATTGACGATGAAGTACCAATAAAAGAATTATCAGATGAAGAAATTATAGCTGCAGTAAAATCAAGTCTTGAAAAAGACAATAATATAGAAGAGGATGATGAATTGGAATTAAATCTTATTACTAACAAAGAAACTTTAAGTAGTTTAGAAAAAGTAGTTCAATATTTCAAAAATTCATCAAATAATATTTCGATTAATTATACAGAGTTGAAAGTTCTTAGTAACTTAAAATCAAAAATCAACAAGAATATCCAAGATAGTGCAAAACAATCTACATTAGATAATTTTATATAACTGCATTGTGTGACTGTAAAGATGACATTTTAAATCAACGAGTACTATATTGGCTTAAATGCATTATGAAAATGATAATATAGGAGAAAATACCTTTATAATAATACAGTGGCGGTCAAAAGAATTGCATCACCTGAATGCAAATCTTAAAATTGCAATTTCTTGAGATTAAAAAATCGCAGTGTTACAAAACTTATTTAAGGGGTTCGTCATACCCTATTTTATTAATCTATATAATCTTTTTTTTAAGAAAACAAAAATTATTTTTCGCGAAATGTAAAAACATACAAATTGAGCGATGCA